ATCACTCTCCCAATATTGATCGATTTTTACAAACATCTTCAAACTAATCAATATCTCATGCGCGATCACCCCTGACTAAAGATCTATTTCGTATAATTGAAACCAAATATTCTATTACAAATAGAATTTACGAGTGACACTTGGTTCGTTTTTCGTTAATGAATTTGATTTTATGTTAATTTTCGTTATTTGAAGAGTGAAGTAAAGAAAGGAGAAGAATGCACCGGTTAGATTAGCATAATCTCAAGTAAACAGATATCTTTAATATATTGAATACATCGAGCTTGAACAAGTTAAAGGTTAATGTGTCCATGGCAACAAACTTGTAAATACAAGTACACAAACGTACTATCTATAAGTATATTAAGTTATATTATAGAAGATTTACAAGATTTTGTACTATGTCTAATGATTAAGTTACTTATGCGTAACAATGCATTTTACAAATTTAACAATGTTTTACTTAGTGAATAAAAATGTTTTATATAAATATACAGATTGCATGTATTACGCTTATCCTTTTTTTGTGTTTATAAATTTAATTGTTTAATCTGTAGCCTATAATATCATGCAAGTATAAGAACTGGTTCACACATACCGACCAAGCACGCCTTATTTAAAGTATAGTTAATCGAATGACTAAATCAAAAAAGAAAACACAATGATATATTGATATACAGAAATAATTATAAATACCTACACGCATCTCAACCAATGTTTATTTGAGCCGCGTCATGACAAAACCAAAATAATGGGTTTGCGACCAGCAGTCTGATCCGCGCAGTCTGATCAGGATCCATGCTGTTCGCTATCAGTTTCTCTACTTGTAATAGATATAAATATAAATGAACACCTAGTTAACAGTGAAATGAAACAAAACAAAGGTTTCCTAAAAAATGGTATTTAATTTATGGTTATTTAAAATAGATTTTATAGGCATTTACCATACAAAGTTATTCTTTCAAAGGACTATACATAGGATTATACATAAACAGCCACATACGTTGCAACTTCACATTTCAATATAGTAAAACAAGAATGACAACATGATCGGAATAAGACGATAAGCTTTTGGGTTTTTTTTCTTAATAACAAGTGTAACAACGTCAAGCTGAAAATAATTTTAGTATGATAGGTAAATTTTCATTTTAACAACTGATAAATTGTAGATTTATTGGTATGGAAACTTATAACATCGCTCTGATATTACTTAAAACATATAACAATAATAATTACTCTTTATTTTATTTAATTATACCTCTATTTTCCAGCGTGAATGTATCTCCGTGCACGTTGGACAGGCCGGTGTCCAGATCGGTAATGCCTGCTGGGAGTTGTACTGTCTCGAGCACGGTATCCAGCCTGATGGTCAGATGCCAAGTGACAAGACCATTGGTGGTGGAGATGACTCTTTCAACACCTTCTTCAGCGAGACTGGAGCTGGCAAGCATGTACCAAGAGCCGTCTTTGTTGACCTCGAACCTACTGTTGTCGGTAAGTGAGAATATCTCAACCGGCTTATTTTTTTATTTGTCTCACTCAAACATATATGCACTTTAACTGAAAATATTGACTGTAGTACAGTTTTATTTTGACATGTCCTTAAAAAATAAAAATACCAAAACAAAAGGAAATCTAGCAAATTTGAATCGTATAGACTTTGACAATGATTCCTTTCTTCTGCAGATGAGGTTCGAACCGGAACATACAGACAAACTGTTTCCATCCCGAACAGCTGTAACCGGAAAGGAAAGGACGGCCGCCAACAACTTATGCTCGTGGTACGTAACACCATTGGTAAGGAATTGTGGACCTGGTTCTCGACAGAAATTCGTAAGTTGGGCTGACCAATGTACCGGTCTCCAGGGATTCCTCATCTTACCAAATCCTTCGGTGGTGGTTACCCGGTTCTGGCTTTCACCTCTCTTCTTATTTGGAACGCCTGTCTTTAGACTACGAAAGAAATCCAAACTGGAGTTTGCAGTTTATTCCAGCTCCTCAGATCTTTTTTACGCCGTCTTTGGCCCATAAAACCCTCAATCCGGGACCCCCCCTTTTCCCATTTTTTGAACACTCTGACTCCCGCCTTTTAGGGTTTTTGAAAAGGGCTTTTTCTAGGGATATTTGCCGCAAAAATTTTGGGACATTAAAAGACCAACATCCCCCCACTAACTTGAACAGACTTTTGGTCAAGTTTTGTATCCTCAATTTCCGCGTTTTTTGAGTTTTTTGGGGGGCGCCCTTTAATTTTTCGACTTGACGGGTTTTTTCCGGGACCAATTTTTTTGGTTACCTACCCGCGTACCCTTTTTTTTCCCTTTTGCCCACCTACGACCTGTCTTTCTCTGCTGAAAAGGGCCTACCATGAAAAAACTATCTGTAGCAAAAATTTACCAACGCTTGTTTCAAACCCACCAAAACCAGTTTTGGTGAATGGTGTTTCCACGTCACGGCACAGTTACATGGCATGTTTGATGGTTGTACCGAGGGGATGTTGTACCAAGGGATGTTTAACGCCGCTATTGCAACCATTTCAAGGACAAGAGAACCATTCCGTTTGTCGGACTTTGGTGTTCCACTTTTTGGGTTCAAAAAGGGGTCGGTTTATCAACTACCAAACCACCCAAGACTGTTTTTTTTGTACCAGGTGGTGATCTTTCGCCAAGGTACAGCGTTGCCGTGTGCATGTTAGAGCAAACCGACTGCCATCGCCGAGGCCTGGGCTCGTCTTGATCCACCAATTCGACTTGATGTACGCAAAGAGAGCGTGTTGCACTGGTATGTTGGGAGGGTATGGAGGAGGGAGAATTCTCCAGGGCTCGTGGGATTTGGCTGCTCTTCGAGAAGGATTACGAGGAAGTTGTGTAGGGACTCCGTTGAGGTGTGAGGGCGAAAGAAGAGGGAGGTAATATTAGGGACAGTTAAAAAATTAAACTTTTTTTGGGACTTTGGCTAATTTTTTCTTTTCCAAAACCCGCAAAACACAAGGGGAATTTTTTACATTCTTTACCTTTTAAATATTCCGTTTTTAGTTTTTCTGATAAAAAAAAATAAATTTTTTGAAAACTATTTGGTTTTTTTTGAATATGTTTTTTGGGTTTTTCCCTTTCAATGTTAAATTTCGTTTCAATTTTTGAAAATTAACCCCTTCCCCTTAAAATTTTTGTTTCATTTCATTTTTAAATTTTTCAGTTTTTTTTTAAACCAAGGGCTTTTATAATATGTCAATTGGTTATAACAAAAAAACCAAACAGAAAAATAACATTTAAAAATTTCACTAATTTTCACAATAAAAAAAATACAAATTTATGACTAGCTTAATAAACAAAAAAGGGGAGATCTTTTATTTTTCATTTCAAGTTTTTGGATTAAATTAAACTGAAATTTTTATTTGTAACAATTTTGAGAACGGAAAATTTAGAAGTTTTACTTATTTTAAATTTTTTAAATTTAATTTTTTTTTAAAAAATTTTAAAGAAAATTTTTAGAAGAATTTTTTTTATCCAAGTATTCTTTTAAATGTGTCAAGTTTTAAAATTTTTGGGATGAGTGAAAAACCGGGAAAAAGAGACTTACGTCTTTTTGTCTTTTAAAATTTACGAATTTTTTTCAAAAAAATTATTTGAAATTTTTTTACTCCAAATTTTAGTTTTTGTTTTACGGACAAAAACGAAAAAGACCCTTTTTTTTTATGATCAATTCCCAAGTGTTGCTTTTAGGTTAGGGCAATTTTTATTCCTTTTAGGGAAATTTCTTCATTTCTGAGCAAAATCGGTAAATTTTTAACATTGTAATTTTTTAGGGGGCTTTTTCGGGGCCGTGGGGTTTTTAAGGTCGTTGATTTAAAACCCCATTTTGCCCTTTTCCCCGCTTTTGGGTTCGAATCCCGACAGGATTTTGGTTTATTTTGCATGTGAGGAAGCTAGTGTTTTTCCCGGAACTGGGTTTGGTTGCTCTCAGTGCCCGTTCTTTGCCAAAAATTTAATGCACCGGAAAAAGGGCAACTGAAGTCTTCCTCCCCCCAGTAAAGCGGGAAAACGTCCCCCAAATGACCCTTTTACGTGTCTTTTTGTGACTTTAAACCCCCCAATCAAAAACAAACCAAACAAATAAAATATACAATTTAATATTTTGTATTATTCAACTTGTTTTGACAACTTTGCTTGGGGACCAAATTTTTTTTTCCCTCATTTTAAAAATTTTTGAAGGCTTTTTTTAATTTTTTTTTCAGTATGGCTTAAAGCGACAGGGCTGCAATTTTGAGCTTTAAAAAATAAAAAAAAAATTTAAAAAATAACAAAAGGGACAATTTTTTTTTAAATTTTTATTTTTAGGGAAAAATTTTTCAATATTTTACAATCAGTGTGCCCCTTTTATATATTATTTATGTAAAAAGAGTTTTGCAAAAATTAGTTTTTAAAACTAAACATTTACTGATTATGTTGGATTAGCAAAATTTTTTATATAAAACAAAACCCTAACGGGGAGAAAATATATTTTTTAAATTTTAATATTTGAAATTTTCTATGGGGGAATTCCCCGCAGTCTTGATCGGGGTTTCCTTGCTGTTCGCTTCAGTTTTCTCCTTTTTAAAATTAGATTGGAAAAGCGAACAGCAGGTTTCCTTTCAGACTGCGCGGATGCACAGGTTTGGTCGGGATCCATGCGGGTTTCGAAAAACCCGTATTTTGGGTTTTTTTCATGCCCGGGGCAATTTTTGGGTTTTATAAGGTCGGTTTTAAGCGAACTTTTTTTAGCCCACTTCTATCGATAAACAGGATGCTTTTTTGTTTTCAAAAAGAAAAATTTTTGTTTTTAATTTAAACCAACCCCCAAATTTTAATTGGGGAACCGGGAAATTAAGCTTTGCACTTGACGACGTTATCCCCTATGTTTGATGAAGTGGGTTTTGTTGGGTTTTCAAAACCTTTGGGGGAATGAATTTTTGAAAAAAAAAACAACAAAAATAAAAAATAACAATACAAATCCGCATACAAATGCACTTCTAAATAAGTTTTATTACTTTTTTCACAACACTTATCAAGACAGAGTTAGCTAAAACGATTGTGTAAATTGAAAACACCGAAAGTATGTATACTATTTACATATTTTGGAAACTTGCATTTATTACCTGGCTATTGTTCTTTATACATTTTAAGAATATGATACATATCTGATATTTGTCTATTAAAATATATATGATCCATGATAAATTATTCACCAGATATTAATTAAAGATCCTGTATGTTTTGCGATTGATATTGTACCTGTGTGTATACTTTATTTATGCGTTTATTTAAGGTCGCCGCCGGAAAGCCCATATGGGCTACCGTACACTCAAGTCGGGCCATCCTATAGCGTCTTGCCGAGATTTTTTCCCAGCTTTTTTTAGTGGAGGAAGACCCCAGGTACCCTCAGGCACGAGCGGGCACCTGGGTAGAACCACCGACCTTCCGTAAGTCAGCTGGATGGCTTCCTCACATGATATATTCGGTCCGAGTGAGGATCGATCCTAAAGGAGTGAGGGACCTGTGATCTCAACTCAGCCTTAACCACTCGGCCACGGAGGCCCTGTGTGTATACCACTATTACAATTATATATGTATATAATTATGCAAATAAAACAAGTTTCAAACATCGGAGAATATATAAAATATGTACTGCAAATATTTGTATATATAAACATTAAAATATGTGCATTCATTTCTTATTGGAAAATTTGACTTAGAATTTATAGAATTACCTCCCTTTATTTATATAAAATGTTAAATTCGGTAATATCTTGATAAATAATGCTTATTGGAACTTACAATATTGGCAAATCTTAATTTGAGCATCATACTTATGAAATAAAACCATAAACAATTGTGTTACATGATCTTTTAAATAGTGAATACACAAAATCAGTGGCATTGTTTTGTATATAAACTAAAATATGCTCAAATATTTTTTTTTCTTTACATCTTAATTTATTTGTTTCATGTTCTGATTAAAACATTTGCATTCAATCTAACATCTCCATGAATGAGAATATTGGCGTCCCTTATACCGTTTCTTGCGAGCCCAATGGTCGAGGATTACAATGAAAGTGATTCAGTCCACGAGAACATCACAGTAGTAAAATTTTCAATTTGTCAAACCCTGTAATATGTGTATGGAAAATCGAAAAAAATGCCTAAAGAATTTCTTCCTTTATAATTGATAGACTTATAAATACATATTTATAACGTTAATAAATTTTCGTGATTGGAATGATTCATAACGTACCATCAGTTAAAGATTATCGTATTTTCAACTGAACAAACTTAAAGGGCATAAATTAAGGAATTTCTTCAATAACATAAAAGGACAAAAGACATTGATTCACACAAAAATATATGAAAAAAGGCAATAACAATGTACATTTGTATATCTGACATCCGTCTCGGTGAAATAATGGTAGCAGTTGTTAATGAAAGCAATGTGCAGTCGTTCTGTCGTAACGTTTTTAAAGTTGCCGTAGTGATGACAAAACATGACAGCTGCCATAGTGATTCCAAAGTTTGACAGTTATCGTAGTGTTGCCAAAACCAGACAGTTGCCGTAGTGATGCCGAAACATGAAAGTTGCCGTAGTGATGACGAAAATTGACAGTTATCGTAGTGATGCCGAAACATGACAGTTATCGTAGTGATGCCGAAACAAGACAGTTGCCGTAGTGATGCCGAAACATGACAGTTGCCATAGTGATTCCAAAACCTGACAGTTATCGTAGTGTTGCCAAAATCTAACAGTTATCGTAGTGTTGCCAAAACCAGACAGTTGCCGTAGTGATGCCGAAACATGACAGTTGCCATAGTGATTCCAAAACCTGACAGTTATCGTAGTGTTGCCAAAATCTAACAGTTATCGTAGTGTTGCCAAACAAACACGACAGTTATCGTACTGACAGTTGCCGTAGTGATGCCAAACCAACACGTCAGTTGCCATATTGATGCCAAATCCTGACATTTTTCGTAGTGACGCCAAAAAGACAACAGTTGTCGCGATGAAGGCAGATAATATATAATATAAAACTATAAACCTAACATCTAGCTTTTGGGTTCACATTCTACCTTTACAAGCTTACTAGCGTCACAGTCTGTAGTGTAACCCCAACCCCTGTTTTCACAATAAAACAGATGTGGCTCGTCTCCATCACAGTCGATGTAGTTAGTTTGATAAGGTTGTTTTGGAGTTACACCGCAGTTATCTTTACACTCACCGTAACGTCTAAAATATGTAAAGTTCACATCATAACTTCTCCTTTACACGAAAAACATGTAACATTTACATTATCTTATATACCATAAAAGTTTTTATTATTGCATATACCATAACAAAGAAGTTTACATTATAATATTTTTTGGGGTACATATTTCAATATGCTCCATAACGTAATCTTATATTGTGACATATCAACTGTATACTACGGTAATCTTTATCTGAACAATGCTTGTTTATGACCAAGAAGTTAATACTCACTGCCAAATTGGGTCCATTGTTCTGCATACGACTTTTGTTTCTCTATCGCTCCAGCCCTCCCCGCACACATTACCATATGTTGTAGTCAAGCCACTTCCAGTGGCAATGTGCACTAGGATTCCGCCTCTGTCAGGCCCAGAATCAAGTTCAACATTGCCAGGCACTACAAAAGTAATGTTCATAACTTTTTATACATAAGATATACCAGTATACAAATAGAATTAACTATTCACATATCAGATACTTTTTCCCTTGTAGACTTTATTGTAAAATATTTAAACATGCATGGAAGTTAATTATGTCTTTGTTTTTCTTTGAATAATTGAATAATTAAACGGTCCAATTTCATATGAGATTTTAGTATCAAAGTACTGAACAATGGTTGTTTACTTACAATGGTCCGAAAAAGGTTGTAATAACACCATAAAATACCCATTATATTATTCCTACATTTTTATTTCTTTAAAGCGTAATTTCATTTAAAATTCAATATACTTTTATCAGTAAGAGTGTGTCCAAATTAAATATTATATGTGCTGTTCTTATAACTTAACTATTACTGTTATATCATAATTATGTAACTTAATTTTATACACTTAATTTTTCCTTTGTTTAATACATTAGAATGATGTTTTAGTTAATGTAATCTTATACACGTGCACATCTTGTTGATTGGCATCCGCGTCTTTTAATTTTCTTAACAAGAAGTCTCTTAAAAAAGACACAAGTCAGTCGTGGTGAGCTAGTTCCATTGTGTTGTGTTATAGCTAAGTCAGTATTAAGATTACATATTGTATATAAGTAAATAAAGAAATTAATCGTGTCCCCGATATGTTTTTACATTATTGAGTTATTAGATAAACATGGCGGATAATGTACTCTCGCTTCATCATCAGGATAGATTTGAAAGGGCCGGGGGGCAGCGTCAACAACTGTCCAAGCATTGTAATGAAAGGCTGTTACAGCAGCACGCATCAAGACTTATGAAAATTTTGAAATGTTTTTAATAGTAATATATTGTTGACTTGACTTGTGAAGTGAAGTTAACAAAATATGAAATATTTTCAGCCAGATAACACATCAATTTCGGAACATTTGTTCTAATCTAACGTTACAACTTCCAATGTTAAGGTAGAAAAATCCAATCAGAGATTCAAAAGTAAACAAGTTTGCAAAAAATAATTAAAGCTTTGTTCTTTTGTTATATTCAAATTTGAAAACATGCACAGAATTGACAAAATGCCTTGTATTACACGAACTAAACTAAATTTAACTAAACTTCACGTAGTATTGGCATCGAACTTAGCATTTGCAACAAGTTTTTCTTCTCAGATTGAAGGGCCTGTCCACATAGCGAACATTAAGTTAACACGAGTATCTTCAAAGTGATGGTTTTGAAAATTTTGGCGGAAGTGCAGTAAAATTATGGGTAATAAGTACGCTTCTATTATTATTAAAAAATCACCATGCTCCCTGTCTCAGTGTATCCAATCTCAAACTGACATTTGGAACATCTAGCCGATTATGAGCCGCGTCACGACAAAACCAACATAGTGCGTTTGCGACCATCATGGATCCAGACCAGGGATCGCATCCGCGCAGTCTGATCAGGATCCATGCTGTTCGCTTACAGACCCTATAACAAGTCAAGAAACTGATAGCTAACAGCATGGATCCTGATCAGACTGCACGGGTGCGCAGGCTGGTCTGGATCCATGCTGGTCGCAAACCCATTATGTTTGTTTTGTCGTGACGCGGCTCAAATGATATTACGATTTTCGCGAAAGTTAGGGTAAACTACAGGTTCAGAATTTGTAATGTCTTACGTATTGTAAGATCGTGACCACGTATGTCCATGTTTTTTTTCATTTATATTTTCAAAATTATTGAAGCTATGATTGTTTTTTTTTATTTTGTTCTTTTTTTTTAATATGGTTTGCACTTATTTTGGTAATCTATACTCTTTTTTAAGAATTATTATTTAAAATTCATTCGCAATAAATAAATGCCATTTCAATGCCATAAAACATAAAACAAATCAAGATAAAACAGTATTTATAAGTTGCTTCATATCCGTGTAGACAATTATGCAAGGCCATTTTCATTAAAAAATACTGCAGAGAATAAAACAAGAGTAGGTCTAAGATAATGACAACAGTAGAAATCGAACAACAGACCTCTCATGTAGTATGCAATCACTTAACTGACTGTGCTATTGCTGATCCGACAGAACAATTCTGTACAAATGTGTCGAAATATGGAAATTGACATTTTTGATTTTTGGCGAAGTAATAGCTCCTTATTTTCTTTTTTTTTGTAATTCAAGAGATGAACAATAAGCCAACTTATAAAAAACTCAAACGAAATAAAATAAAGGCAAGCGGAGCCAATGTGAAATGAAGCACCTGTGATATCGTAATCAAAGCAAGTCAAAGCAATCTCTTTATCCATGTTACCATCCTTCGGATTAATATTTGGACATAGTTCGAGGCTAGCTTCATTTCCAGTACAGGCTATATTGTCTAGTTTATAGGCTTTAGTAAGTCGTTGTTGGTTTTCGTCATCAAACCAGTCCTTGTGAAATGTGCCTCCAAATCTGAAATATTTTGCTTTTTTTAAAAAAAATATATATTCTTATTTCCAGTAAAGAAAAAAACACATTAAATAAACATGGTCGAATGGGTATGTTCAGGAGACACTTGGATTATATAGTTTTGTATATACTAATGTCAGTTAAATAAATTTCAATTCGGATTCGAAACAGCGGTGGAGGACGTATACTTCAAAATAAATACAATGTTTATTTCTTACGCAAAACAAAATAGAAAAACACGAAATCCATAAAGAATACCCAAAACAAAACAATTGAAAATGTTGCCAACAGTATTTGATTGAGCCTGTTCATTGAAAGTACTGGAATGTGCAAGCTACTGTTCACGCCCCGAGCACCAGCATAAGAAGAATTCAACATTTAACATGAAATTGTAAAATTTTGTATTTAGAAACATCCGCAGATTTATTCATATGGCGGTCATCATGGCACCTACAATGTAACGTATGGTCCCGAAATTAAGAAAGACGATAAATAGTGTATTCTTTTGCCTGCACGGCATTCCAGCAGAGCATTTCTTACACTATATTTCGGAAAATGCTCAGCTAGATTTCTCTGCCAGTTGAACATCCAAGACGACCATTTTTACACTTTATTTAGAAATGTCCCGCTAGATTGCTTAGCCAGTTGAGCATTTGAGCAGAGCGCTTTTTAACACTGTATTTAGAAATGCTCCGTCAACTGAGCATTCATGCGGAGCATTTTTTAAAACCTTATTCATGAATGTCCCGCTAGATTGCTCTGCTAGCTGAGCATTCTAGCCCTATATAAATTGTAATGCTAGTGCTTAGCTCACTGATTGCTAACTTCTCACATACTTTAATTTCATTAATTCTGTTCAGCAACACCAAACTATATAAAAACATCAAAGCATTAACATGATTATTAGAATACAAAATAAAGCATTATAAATTTAATCTGAAAACATGAAAATCATTAAAATATTGTTATATTATCTCACTATGGCTAACATAATCCCAGATACCTTGGCGATTATGAAAGGGCCTATAAAGTGATTGTTTCGATTTTTTCAAGGTTTCAAACTTCATATGCAATTGGCATGAGAAATGCCTTTGGCCCAATCTGACTAAAGTTCAGATCTACTTATTTATGTAGCGGTGCGTGATTAAAGCTGATTTTAATCAGATTGGCCTTTGGCCATACTTGCATGACAAGGACAGATATTTTTGGTAATAGAAAGGCATACAAACATGATATTAAGTATTAATATGTTTAATAAATAATTTCGACTTCTATGAAACAGTATTATTGTCTAGGGTATTGTTTCTTAACGTGAAAATATCTTTAACATATTTCATAATGTTATATAATTCTTTCTTGTCCTTAATTGTTATTTAGATATTTAAATATCTTACTAGGCCAAGATACATTAACATTATGTTTAATTCTAAGGTTTTATAATATTACAGCAAAGCATGAAATGATATTCGTTTGTATATATATATACAATAATATTCTAGATTAGGCATATGTTGATTACATGCTGACCAACCAATCAAAAATTGATCGTAATCTTAAATATTAGATATGTAAATATCACGATTGTTATCAAGTTAAAATAATATATGTGAAAAACCAAAATTAATAGAACCCCTATAAATATTGTAGTCAATAAGATCTCTTTACATGGTATTAATGGGGAAAGAAACATTTGCCGTTATTTACCGATCGTTCCAAATAACATGTAAGAGTAATCTATCAAGATCATCCAGTACCGTACTGTTTGGAGTTTGTTGTTTTTCTCATAAAACATGCTTACAGAATCTAATATTTGTCTGCTTATTAGTAGTTATTTACTTCCCAAACAACTAAGTTGTATAGAAGTATTGGCACTTACAAAGTATCAAACAATAACAATTTTTATTTTAACACCACATTTAAATATCCAATGTGTATTAAAATGCAATGTAGATATATAACCAGTATGGATAAGAGGCAGTCATGTGACTGTCAACAGAAAATCTATAGTCTTATTTTAGAAGATAAAAATGATTTGCTTTGATAGTAAGAGTATGTCCATACCGCTTATAGTAATGGAGATTAGATCCTTCTATACGGGTATCAATTAATTTTCAAAGTTTTGAAAATATAGATCTACCCGGGTTTACCTAAATCCTGTAGCTCGGTGTTTTAAGCGTAGTCTATGGCTAATGGCGGCATTTTCCCGTAAAAGTTCAGGAGTAGCAGGTATGTTGGTTTTCTTGGAATATTTGTATAAAGTATATGACGAGTACCCAGCCTGTTTACTAACTGTATAGGCACTATTGGAAATACGGGGAAATATGTTACAAAAATGTTATTGAAGGGATCCCGATGTTTTCATGCCAATCTTTAGCAGTTTTCTTGACCCAAACTACACTTTCATTGTCTTAAAGTTTAAAAGAATCGGATTTAGTCGCACTATTGATTTGTTGAAATGGTTGTAAATGTCTAATTGTGTATAATTGTGTACGATTGTGTATAATTGTGTACAATTTTGTATATTTGTGACTCTTTCTAACATTATCATTCCAGTGATGCAAAATTGTTTGTGAAGCTCAACAACCGAAACAAATTGCTGCAAATCGACATAAAAACGGGACACATTCATTTGCATTCCTTCAATAATTTTATATTTTCGTCTTTCTAGTAAAAGCTACAGTTAGTAAACATATATGTCAAGGTTCTGGTCAGAAACCTTATGCAAACATTTCAAGAAAATCAACATACGTGTTGATATTTGAACTACTGAAGTTTCTTACTATATTGACGCAATTATTCATAGACTACACGTTGTTCTCGCTTAAAACACCGAGTTACATGATTTAAGTCCTACCCCTTGTTTAGAAAACCAATAACTTTTTATTTAAAAAGGCGAAGAAAAAGAAGGAAAAAAGAAACTCATACTTAAAGCCCAAAGAATTGCACGCAACTTTAGTTGCTCTCCAATCCCAATCTTCATGTGTAACAGCCCTCCACTCATTATTGTGGAAAAACTCCAGGTAACCACAGTGCGGAATGTCTTGCATTTTTGGATGATTTGGTTTCAATCTTAATCCTGAAAAAATGTGCGTTTCGCATTAAAAAGGATACTGTGTCCGTGTTTATCTATCAAAACTTTTATTCTACAAGTATAATACATGACAATAAATTTGCTTCAAAGCAGTAAGCTTCAACACAAAGTAAACATTTCTTTTCCGTTGGTTTTGTCAATCTATTCAGTACACTACAAAAGTATAGCATATAAAAATCACAATGTAGTGACGGAATAACTGTATCTTTTATTGCAATTCTACACAATTTAATGTGTATGATTTATTTCGAAAAATAAATGAGCCGCGCCACGACAAAACCAACATAATGGGCTATCAGTTTCTCTACTTGTAATAGGGTTGGTAAGCGAACAGAATGGATCCTGATCAGATTGCGCAGATGCGCAGGCTAGTCTTGATCCATGCTGGTCGCAAACCTATTATGTTGGTTTTGTCATGACGCGGCTCAAATACCTTTCACTTGCAATCACCTTATCATTTATTGAAGGATTATTTTATTCAACTTATATCATTTTCTTGGGAGCAAAGAAATTTGTTAAAACGAAAAAAAAAGTGTTTAAACGAGTGATTGTTCCCTTTTCGTACGCAATTTTATGAATGCATTTTTCATGTGTGGTTTCTGTGCTTCTGTGTAAGGGTTCCGCTATTGAGTGGACGCTTTTAATTCTTATATAATGTTTAACTATTATTTTTTAGTTTTATGACTTGTAACCTGTAACTTATGTGACTACAAGTTTCTCTGAATTTGACCAAGCGAATATGTCACATTAGACAAACATACGTTATATATTCGATCCGTGAACTAGAGGACTTTACATGCTTAATCGGCTTTCGGAACACCTCGCCACACATCTATAAATATTCCGGAAATAATACAGATTGAACGTAATTTCTGCAACATGACTATTGAAAAGAGCAAATTAAGTAATAGTTATAGTATATGAAACGAGTTAGTTACGAGGGTATAACACTGACTGGGGCGACATCAAGGGGTGTTTCTGCTAAAAAATGGCGAGGCCGTTTGACCGAGACAATTTTTTTTGCAGAAACATCCCGAGATGTCGCCCCAGCCAGTGTTATACCCCCGTAACTAACGAGTTTCATATACTATAACTGTTTTATCGCAATGGCATAATGTTTTCTTTTTTTGTATAGAAACAAATAAATAAATTAATCGTTAGCTACATTACAGTTATTTATCATAAGGCAGTTTTTCAAGTTGTTTTCGCTGCCGCAAAAAAATATACAAAAGACATCCAATATATGAGGCGGATTGTATACTGTTACCAAGATTGATTTAAGATTAAAGGGCTTTTTTCATTCCATTTATTATCTATGTTTATATTTTTCATTGTATTTATATATTTATTTTATTTTATTGATTTCATTTTTTTATTATTTTATTATTTTATTTTGCTACTGGGAATGGTCGTTACCACTGCCCCATTGGAGCCTCTATGAAAAAACTGTATTGATATATACAAGGTGCGAAAAAAACCCGACCGATATATAACAGTCGAGTTTTTATCCTATATGAATCAATGAAAAAACTGTACTGTTATATATCAATACAGTTTTGAAATGCTCATTGAAGTGTACTGAGTATAATGGGTTAGAAAGAACAAAGGAAAACCTCACAACTATGCGATAATACCATAGTAACGTCCGTAATATTCTGATAAATCTATCACACTAAACTTGTAAATACTTTTGAAGATCACTTATACGTGTTGAAGTTGAAGTATGTATGTTTATTATTTCATATTTTGTTAACATTTTTGAAAATTGTAGCGGAAACGGGACCGGAACATAGATCTGTGTTGCCATTATTATTTATTTTTATAACAAAAGATGAGCCAGGACGTTTGCGAGTTTTATTTTTAAAAAGATGTCTTGCACCTTTGATTGAAAATAGCTCGGAAACTTAAAATATTATAGTTAAAATGTATAATTTCAAAATTGATTCTTTAAGAACTGTTTATCTATCAAACTTATCATCAAATTTTGATTTTTGTTACATCATGTTATCGCTTACAGTTATAAAGTTATAAATACCTCCGCACTTAAATCCTCCGGGTGTCCATGTTAAAGCATTTTCATCACAAGTTATAGTACCGTCGCCCGTACCAGGTACGGGATATAGATGTGGAGCATCATTAGTATTGCAGACATACTGCCGTACTTGTCCGGATCCAGTCACAGAAGCTCCGAAAACTTCGTTCGGCTCACCACAAGCTTTATTTTGTTTATAGAATAAAGTAAGGTAGTTAGATATCAACGCATAGTTAAACATATAGTTAAACATATTTTAAAGCTAACTTGAAGTTTTAAATGATTCATAGAATAGTTTATCTCAGCAATTATAGATCGTGAAATACAATAAAAATAAATACACAAAAACATTTGTTAATAAATAAATAAAAAAATGTTTAAGAATAAAGTAAAAACATACTAAAGCAAGAAAAGTTATTGGCTGGTACCCATCCTGCCTCTGTACACGTCAGTGTGGCGTTAGATGAAGCTGTAGGGAAGTGATCTGGGTCACACTGGTAAGTTCTTGTGTTTTCGTTGCCCAGCAACTGTGCGTTTGATACATCTGGGGGAGCGCCACAATCTGAATTAACAATAATTTAATTAATAGCTCTATATAGTTTCTTTCCTGCAAGATAAATTGGGGTGTTGAAGTCTATAAGTTTAACCGAATGTTTGGGATGGCAATCACCAGAATGTAAGATCATAAAAAATTGAGCCATATTATTTTTTCTAATGTGCAGACTACTCTTTTTGTCGTTACATTTAAACCAAGGCAAACATACCGAAACCAGAGATCATTCATGTCAGCACACGCACTAATAAATAGTTCCGATAGGGCTACTTTTACAGAATTACTGCGCAGTTTGTTGGTTTTCGCACACAATTGGACTGACTTAGTAATGTGTTGTCCAGGTATTGGAGTGACAAATTATTTACGTAAAACCTTTTTTGTTACATTTTTACGTCTTTTCAGGACATACAAATAGAAGTTTGATCCTTTAACAGGAGTTTGCGCCAGTCTAGTTATTTAGATACCAGATAGTTTATGTATTTATGTTCCGAAATGTAACATAATTAGGATATAATATAAGTAGGATATAACTTAAGTAGATTATAACATAGTTAGGATATAACATAATTAGTATATAAAATAGGTAGGATATAACATAGTTAAGATATAAAATAGGTTCGGAAATGAAATAGGTAGGATATAAAACAGGTAGGATATAACATAAGTAGGATATAACATAGGTACGATTTAACACAGGTAAGATATAACATAGTTAGGATGTAAGGTACGATATAACAAAGTTGGATATTACTTTGGATATAACATATAGGATATAAAATAGACATGATATACAAATGTACAACTGTAACAAAGGTTATATAGGATATTTGTAGCATAAAATATATCTAGGATAGAAGATATATAGGGTAGCACCATAGAATATATCAGTTTGACAATCAATTTATTTTATAGATTTTTGCAATTTCCGTATGCATGTCTTATTTCCCATCAGGCAATGTACATTAAAAATGTATAAGCCTAAATGAACGTAAAAGGTTAATTTACTAGTTCAGGTGGCATTTTTATTTTCACCATATTGATATTGGATAGGAAAAAAGTAAATATACAGCGATGCTATTCAATGAACTGAAAACTACAAAATTTCTTACAAAAGAAAAAATCATGAATTAATCATTAGGCGAAAATTCGTTTCATAATAATTACCAAAAAAGTCAAAACCATGAAATTTATTATGAAAAATTAATCAATTTACGTAGAAAATGAGCCGTGTCATGACAAAACCAACATAGTGCGTTTGCGACCAGCATGGATCCAGACCAGCCTGCGCATCCGCCCAGTCTGATCAGGATCCATGCTGTCCGCTTACCAACCCTATTACAAGTACAGAAACTGATAGCGAACAGCATGGATCCTGATCAAACTGCGCGGATGCGCAGGCTGGTCTGGATCCATGCTGGTCGCAAACGCATTATGTTGGTTTTGTCATGACACGGCTCAAATGAAGTGTTTTAAAAAGTATACATTCAAATTGATCAAGAAGAGGACTTAATAATATGACCATATTTGAACAAAATAATACATTGCCTTAATTTACATGAAAAGAATTACCGTTCCTTCTGTCATATGTTTGTGTTCGCATACAGGACCGTAAAACTTTCTAATGTGCATATTTACTGAAGTTTGCCTTCCACTTACGGCGCACCGTTACGCTCTGGACATATATAGTCGTAGAGAGCTATAGACGGCGCTATGTTCAGCGCAAACTTACATTGTAACAACATTGACCCGTATTGTCCAGTCGCAGAGAATTTCTATGCTAAATATGTTCTACTACGTTATATAAGGCGCAAAGGCAATAATAAATAAGCCAGTCCGTAAAAGTATTCATCAAATTCCGTATATTACATGTATAGAGGAAGTGGTCTGACAGTGATTTTTCACATTATATAACAGCATTCTATGAAAAGAGCTGTTCCCAATCGAAATTTTCTTTACGATCATGCAGTTTTCCCAGACATTTGAACTAACACCAGATTTTTTACTTCCCAAAGTAGAAGTTTTAGCGAAATTTGTGGCTACTTAAGGCCTCTTTCTTATTTAGTGAAAAAAAAAACAACAACAAAAAAAACAAAAAAACAAAAAAAACACTGGGTCAGTTGACAAGAGTTCTTGTTGTTTAAAATCTTTATGAAACTCGGAAACAGACGAAACTTGTTGCCTTGACTTATTCTATGACGGATTCTTAATTTGATATTAAGAAAACAAAATAACGTATTTCTTACCAAGAAAACATTCTTTTATCGAAGTGTTGTAACTTTTGTTGGGGCCACATTCACACCGACCATCTGTAGAACATCTCCCCTTGATAAGCGGACATGGGTTATAGCTATCATCGCACGGATGTTCATGGATATCTAAATATACATCTTAATCTTCACAAATAATGACATAGAATTTATAAGGCCTCATAAAAACTTTAGAACGTTATGTTTTTCATTTCTTTTTATGTAATATAGTTGTTACACAGTTCTTTACATCTCACGTGAGAAATTGAAAAACGCGTAGTTTCAAAATATTACACAAATTATTAAACAATATCCTATTTGATAACAATTTCATTGCAAAAAGACAGATGTAGTAAACTCCGCTTATAACGATATTGCTTACAACGATATACAGTTTATAACGATATACCGCTTATAACGATATACCACTTATTACGATATACCGCTGTTGTTGCCGCGGTCCCCACTCTTTGTTTTCAAATTGGTTGCCACTCGGATGTAACGATATTCAGATATAGAACAGAACAGAACAGAACAGAACATTTATTTCACTTGTACATCATGTACATTGTGCACATAAATAACATATTTACACAACACAAGTATAGTCACACAATCTATATAAAACAATACAAATGTTATATCAACCAATGAGTTATTAAGAGGATGATTATGATTATATATTTTGACTCATTTGTTTATTTCTACGATTAAAAGCAATCTTACTAAATTTACAATTTATACAGTTTACAATTTACATATAACGATACAAATTTAGCGGTCCCTTGAGTACCATTATAGACGGAGTTAACTGTACCTTTCATTGTAGATCAATTCATTTTAAGATACAAAAAGTGGCCGATATATTGAAATGCATGATTAATACTTTATAGCTATATCAATATTTTAATATACTGACGTACGTCCCAGCTGTAAAACAACTCACGAATATCAATATAATTATGCATTAAATTTCAAGCAAATATGTTAACTTTACCTACGAATAACGATTTGAGCCGTGTCACGACAAAACCAACATAATGGGTTTGCGACCAGCATGGATCCAGACCAGCCTGCGCATCCGCGTAGTCTGATCAGGATCCATGCTGTTCGCTTACAAACTCTATAACAAGTAGAGAAACCGATAGCGAACAGCATGAATCCTGATCAGACTGCGCGGATGCGCAGGCTGGTCTGGATCCATGCTGGTCGCAAACCCAATATGTTGGTTTTGTCGTGACGCGGCTCATTTCATGTCTGTAAGAGTAATAGAAGGTCTGTGTTACCATAAATAATAACAGCAGTAACAACAACAACAACAATACATTTTATTGTAAATACCAGTAACAGATGATCATCATACACATTTCATTGACATAAACGTGAAAGTATAACTATGGAAATTTCAAAGGAAATTGAAGAAAGAAAAACATACAAGAATTCGCTTCGTGAGTGTTAAATATAGGTTGAACATTGTATATATATTAGTCTTTTCCATCATAGGGTACATACAGAAGTGTAATATTATCTTATATTTCTAAAGCCGGGAACGAATAAGAAATTTAATGTTCAAATATTCGTTTCCCATGTCCTAATATATTCGAATATTTTTTTGAAAAACTGTTCCAATATTTCTCTTTTACGTATTTTCCGAAATTGATTACGTCGAATACTATACTATTTTAATATGCTTGGAATAATCGACGATTAAGAAAGACTTTTATAACTATGTCAAAGTTTTTTTGTTTTATTGATTGTAAACAAAAATACATTGCAAAATATACTACTACCCAATAAACTAGAGACTTACACAAGACAAAATCTTCATAGATAAATTTGTTCAAGGTTTAGCAGTGTATGTATAACGACATTGGTTGTATAAGTAACATACATGAAAACAAACCACGAAAGAATTTTATTTATGGATGTTGTGAAATACATTGATCCGATTTGACATATTTATATACATGTATAATGTGATAAAATCAACGAACCCGTGCACGTTGGTGTGATATCCTTGTCCCATTGTTTAGAAGGCAAGCACGTAGCAGTTCCTCCACCAACTGTACCCTTCTCGCACGTGTAAGTATTCTGTGACCCAACAGTTCTTCCATTGGTAACACCCCAGGGCGGAAGTGGGCATACGTCACCTTGATGAAATGTCATATCAATTAATGATGTCATTAATTCAGAATCTAGACATAATAAATTTATCTAAGGCTCATTCTGATTATTCGGCAACATATGAGTAAATTAATTTATTCAAAACATGTAACTATGTTACACAACATATCTGCATGGTTAGAAAAAAACCTCTGAAAATCTTTGAGATCACCCCACCGGAAAAAACTGAATTTGTTTCCCGCTCAGGCAGATTAGGACTTTTTATGTTAAACTCATATTAAAAAGTCCAAACATAAATAGTCCTTAAACAACGGAATCCTATTCTGATTTCCTAAATGTTGCCGCCCTCTCGGTACTAACCTTTGGTAAAGAACAACACGTATGAGATACCAGCGAAAATTGGGTGATCCAAACAGGGCTCCGTAGAAGATTGTTTTTTTTTAATAAAAAAGAAAAATTATATAATACTTATGAGCAAAGATTCGTACATTTTATATAAAGCGAACGGGAATATTTATGAAATGTTAAAACCTACACATGACGTACTTTGTCGTTGTAATTTGGTAAGACACATTTTGTTCCACTTTTAATATTATCGTTATCATAGAAACGGTTGTCAAGAATATGTCAAAACCGGAGTTAAATGAAAATGTGTGAGCTATTGGCAAATCAATTAATAACGTAATAGTTAAATATAGTAGACTGTTGAACTATCCCATTTTATTGTTCACAAACTACCCCAAAAGAACTATTGAGGAATTTACAAGTAATGCAATTTTATAGCGGCTTTGATCTAGCTTATTGAACATTCCTGCAATAATGGACCACCGTGTAATAATTACATGTAGTAGGTATGTAACTGTACATTTGCATATTGGGATATAATAGTATATCATAACATACAATAAGTAATAACATAACATTAGTAATGGCATAACAAAACAGAGATCTAACATAACATGGCAGGACGGTATACCTTACCAATACTTATTCCAATACCGATACCCTACCATACCAATACCGATACCCTACCATACCGATACCCTACCATACCAATACTGATACCCTACAATACCAACTCCGATACCCTACAATACCAATACCGATACCATACCATACCAATACCCTACCATACCAATACCAATACCCTACCATACCGATACCCTACCATACCAATACCGATACCCTACCATACCAATACCGATACCCTACCATACCGATACCCTACCATACCAATACTGATACCCTACAATACCAACTCCGATACCCTACCATACCAATACCGATACCCTACCATACCAATACCGATACCCTACCATACCAATACCGATACCCTACCATACCAATACCGATACCCTACCATACCAATACCGATACCCTACCATACCAATACCGATACCCTACCATACCAATACCGATACCCTACCATACCAATACCGATACCCTACAATACCAATACCGATACCCTACCATACCAATACCGATACCCTACCATACCAATACCCTACCATATCAATACCGATACCCTACCATACCAATACCGATACCCTACAATACCAATACCGATACCCTACCATTCCAATACCGATACCCTACCATACCAATACCGATACCCTACAATACCAATACCGATACCCTACCATACCAATACCGATACCCTACCATACCAATACCCTACCATATCAATACCGATACCCTACCATACCAATACCGATACCCTACCATACCAATACCGATACATTACCAATACCAATACTGATAACAAGACAATACCATACCATATCATACCGTACCATAACCATACCATTCCAAACCGTACCCTACCCCTCCCCTACCTCTAGCATAGCATTACATAACATACGGTCATACCACAAGCAATACATAGCAATACATAGCAATACAATACATACAAAAACATAACATACACATAACATGGCGAGATATGCTTACGTTTAAATTGCAAACAATTATATGAGCATTCCGATGATCCTGCCAATAATGTTCCAGGAATGCAAGATTCAGATACATCGCAAGGTCTGCTATAGCAGTTTTTATCCAGCTTAAATGTAAAAAAATGACATTTATAATATCACATTATTTCATAAGTACAGTCACTTATATACTCATATGATGTAAAAGAATAAAGCTTATCGCTAAAAAATCATTTACATTTCTATAGGTTTTGAACATTAATAGACTTGATAGAATTACGAGATTAGGTACTGGCTGCAAGTAACATTCAACTTCTTCACATATATCACTGGTAAAAGAGATGGGAACATATCACTGGTAAAAGCGATGGGAACATATCACTGGTAAAAGCAATGGGAACTGTGATGGCGTTAGACATAATTATTGCTACAAACTAATCAACAAAGAATACACGTGCTAAGGCATGGTATTCGAAGTCTGTAAAGTCTGTAAAGACAAACAAACATTGACAATGATATAAAAATTTTGTTAAAAGATGAGAAATGTAAAAAAAACAAAACAAAAAAAAAACAAACAAAAAAAAAAAAAAAAAACATAATTAACAGGGTGTCCTTATCGTGCCATATAATATGTCCTCGGTCGCATTCAGGGTGCAGAAAGACATTGCGAAAATGTGTTACGTAGCTAAACAATGCAAAGCGAAATACCGCCTCAGCAATGTCGAGCGTCGTCTCGCAGTACCACGTTGCCAGTTTTCATTGTCGCAATATCAATTCGTTATGTCGCGATGACACTTTAAACGGCATCAAATTTATTTACGGGCAAATTTCTCCAAAGAAAATGATGGGAAATGATGACAAAATTATAGAGAATTTTCAAAGAAGGACATGATATTAGAAAGGGTATGTTGAGCAAAACCAGTTAGTGTTTATTAGTATGCATTTACAAATTTAAATTGGACTAGCAAGGCGTACCGATTTAGTGTTTTAAATTATTTTTATAAGCTGTCGATTTACTAAAATGAGTAAATTTATTCGAGTTAGCAAATTTAATGTGTTATGGTGCGTTTGAAATACTGCAATTCTATTGGGACAAAAAAATTTCAAACACTAAATATGCCAAAAGTGTGGAAAAATATTTTAAGGAATGTGACAAAATTACGGGTGCAAATCCGGGAAAAAAATGGATTTATAAAATCTTTTTCTATTTACTCTTGGCTAAAATTTTACGTTTTTCTTTTCTATTTCTTTTGTTTTTTATCTTGTAAGTGAGTTTTGTTTATTTTTTTTTTCTTTGCGGCGAGTTAATTTTTGTCGCTTTTTTCTTTGCCCTTTTTATCTTCTAGGTCCTAAGTAATTGTTTATATATGAAATTGTGGTCACGAGTTAACCATTCTTTTTCGAAGCCATGAGTTACATTTTTTTATCCGTACAATATTTTTCAAACAAGGAAAGAAAGAAAATAAGCTTTGTTTGTTTAACAAAGTTTGGAAATTTGAAACGGAATGCTATTCATCAAAATAAAACAAATATAAATGCTTACACTCGATGGCCACCAGGTGAATTCCGAATACACAAGAGAAGCTCCTCTCCTTGTCGGTGTGTTTGACATAGTACCAGAGTTCAACTCACACTGACGACTCAGAGTGTCGTATGTGATTGAATTGCACATTTTCTGTCGTATACAAAGTTTTGCACATTGTACAATATCCTGTGTCTTTGACTGCCAGTAAGTTGATTCGCTGAGTCCTGTCTGGAGAACCGTCTTCAAATCTGCATTACCGCAAACTTCCTCAGCATATATTCCATCCAGGAAAAATATAATGAGGATCAAACTAGACACGTATGCCTGACGGTTTAGAGCATTAGCCATCTTTTAATACATTGGTCAGATTAATGTATCCAATTTCTTCCCGTCTGAACCTTGCAAAATAGTCCAATTTTTATAAAAGTGTGAGTAAACTTAAAAAGAAAAAAAATCAAGATAATGTTATAGATGTAACACATCAAACAGTGTTTTATGTTATATTGAATGCTTAAATGATGTGTGAATTATGCTGTCTACTAATATGTCCTGAGATGATAAAATATCAGGCCGTACAAACAGTCTACGGGTTACTCAACCCGTAAATTATACATGTACCAATACTTTGCATCTTAAATTATTTCTAAAAAATAAAGCATTTTTTGTAAAGGTCTTTTCTTAACATGCGGAACCAATGCGTCGTTCTGATATTTTATTCAAGACATTGATGATATTTTAACTATGTACATCCACGAAACTCTTATAGTGTCTGTCACATTTATATAAGTAAAATACTGTGTACAGTAAAATATACAATACCTATAAACACTTTAAACACCACAAAATTGTATTTGCACAAATATAATCTATAACTAAACTTCAAAGAAACCAATTTGATATAAAGAGTAATTCTTTGCGTACGATTAAAAAAAAAGTCCTGGGAACGCTGCGTTTAAGACAAACACATACGCCCAACAAAGATCCAGTTACACTGATATCAGGTGTAAATATTTGTAGTTAATTCCCAGCTTAATTCTCAGCGTTAATGAGATGATTATATATTAATGAGGCGCTTGTGTCCGAGACGAAATTCATACTATAGTTGATCAGTTTAACTACCCACGGGTGTCTTAAAACGTTGATCATGAAAATGACGCTTTATAATATCATTGTACTGAAAATTCTTGAATAATTAATAAATTTGAAACTTCAGTTATTGTCCTAAACATTTGCCATGCATTAACTTTAACTTAACATTTTTAAATTTATAAATTGATTTATGTGAAATAAGTGTATGGTTCATGTGTAGAAGTAATAAATCAATTGTTTAAATGCGTCATATTATCTAACATTATACGTAAGTAAGTCTCAGGGGGCGGGGGGCCTTTTAACAATATTAATGTGCGGATGACGTCATCGTACCACTTCATAAATTTAGTAGTGCAAAACCACTTGATAAAATTCACATAGTGTACCGTGTCATATTGTCAAGACAATTGCTGACTTCTGAAAATTTTCAATACCCTTTACTTGAAAGGTTATTTGTTTCTCCGAATAAACGCTTTTCGCTTTAAATTTAGAAAAATGCGGTCAAATAAATGCATCGAAACAAGAGGCTATCTTTTTGTACGTGTGTGTGTAAGTAAATTTCGCAGAGGTTACCGATATGGATATGCACCGTGATACCACTATCGGCCTTGAAACTTTAACAATGACTTTGTTTCAAACGTATTTCAGACATATGATTTACAAGATTCTGAGTAGAATAAAAATAATGTTAATTAAAGTATGTACGGTGTGGATGCGAGTGTTAAATTGCCTCGCTCTTCAAGGGAGATAAATGTATTTTTATATTCACATTAGCGAGCTGCCATAAAAATGCTGTCCAAGGGGGAAATCCTCTCATGTGGAACATCTTAACATCATAAATTCACCAAATACTCAAGATATACAAACAATATCAAATTCATGATTTCACAATTTCAATTTATTGAATCTACGACACGTGATTTCAACTTTACGAAATTATGCAATTTCAGGAAATAACGTTTTGAACTTCACTGTTAATTTTCTTCTTTACGAATCCTCGATTTAAGCTTCATGAATTCATAGTTATTACTTCGTAAATTCAATTTCATGTATTCACGGGTTCAATTTTATGAATTATGGAACGTTTACTCGTGAAGATGGAATCAGTTGAATAAATGAATTTGAAATCTCGAACTAATAAAATTGAAATCGTGAAAACATGAAGTTGAAGTCCTAAATTTATTCAGCTGAAATAGTGAATTTATGAATTCATGAAGTTATAAATCGTGAGTTTGTGAAGCTGTAATAGTGAATTTATGAAATTGTGAAGTTAAAATCGTTAATTCATGACGTTAAAATCGTCAATTTGTGAGATGAAATTGCCAATGCGGTTAGTTGAAACATAAAATTCAAAGCTCATTAATGTCACCACCGATTCTTTGGAATCGAAGTGTCGGTTCTTTAACGGAATTTGAGGCGTTATCAGATGTAATTTAACATTTTCATTAGGGTACGCAATTGTGGTGAACCAATATGATGATTGTATACTTAACTTTGCATTACAAATAGGAATAATAGTGCTAAACTATCATATTTTAAATTACTTTACATACTTAAACAAGAGGAACGGACATTGATACTCCCGGACAGCTTATTAAAGAGTTGTTGTTTTTTCTCTCTCAGAAGTTCTCCCAACGGTGTAGATGGCGTACATGAATCAAAGAAAAATACGGTATTGACAGAATTAGTAAACGGGTTCTTGGAGTACAGTAGTTTTTTGTTAATAACATTTTTTTTATGGAATCGATCTTTTTGAAACAAAGTATGTACATGCTTTTATAATGCTACTCATTGATTAGTTCAAATATTGTTCATATTTCAATCGAGGTGCATTGAAATAGATTATGAATTATCCATGTACCGGGATAAAGTATCTTCCCAAAGGATTCAAATCGATCTCGGTCGGTTGCCATTTATTGACAGTGTTAAGATAATTGACATGCTTCTTGTTTTTACCTTTTTGTTACAGCCTCTGACAACATTGAGTTCATAATTTTGTTCAGAATACATTCAAATTTACAGACTGAACGTTTTTGTGACCGTTGCAAAGAGTAAGAGACGTTGGGCAAAATTTCTGTTGTCTCTCTGAAATAGGTCCAATTAATATATGGACTCTGTAATGTATACTTTTTCTTTTTCTCTTTTCGTGCTCTTGATGATCCAAAGGGTTATTTCATCATCATCATCATATCATCATCATCATCATCATCATCATCATCATCATCATCATCATCATCATCATCATCATCATTATCATCATCATCATCAGCAGCAGCAGCAGCAGCAGCAGCAGCAGCAGCAGCAGCAGCATTTTTATCATCATCATTATCATCATAACCATCATCATCATCACCATCAGCAGAAGCAGCATACCTATCATCAACATCATTATTATCACCACCAGCATCATCATCATCAGCAGCAGCAGCATCATAAGCATTATCAACAGCTGCAGGAATAATTAAGCAGTGTAATGAGTAATTTATGAAAGTATTTTGATATCTTATATATGTCATATCAATAGCAAAATTAACAGATTTTTTTTCCCGGTGTATTTGTTGTTTTTTACTTCTTCAAATATCATCATACATAATAATGACGTTATTTCCGATTTTTCTCGGTATTAATTATTGTAATTTCTTCCTTTTTCAAATACTCGTAGTAAAAAGGAACAAATGTTTGTTTTATTTGCACAAAGACAAATATTTCTTATTATCTTGTTTCAAATGTTAAAAGAAATGCCTACAAAATTTGGTTAACTTTTATTGTACATTGATATTTCATCATCAAATTATATAGAGCATCATGTTTTTTAAACTTTTGGCAGCAAAAATGCACGGACAATGAGAAATCTTTACCAATATTTGAAACTCTTTTTAAAACATACAATGTATATGAAATATCAGTTCTCAATTTTAATTTTTTAAATCCCGATTAGTAAAAATTGTATTATGTAGCAAAGTACAAATCGAGACATGAAAGGTGTAGTTGTTCCCCTGAAGTTTCAGTACTTGTTAAAATGAAATGAATAAATGAGGTGACGCACGTGCATAGATATTTTTACAGAAAGAATGTGATTGCTAAGATGGTTTTATACTATATTACAAACTCAGATATTTGTTTCTTTGTTCTTAAACATATTACATGTGAAGGGTAAAAAAACTAACAAACATATTACAAGACAATTTTTTATTTGAAAATAAGTAAATAGAAAAGAGGAAAGTGCTATGAAATGCAAACAATTATTTTTTTACACATTTTTTTCAAAGTTGCATGCCTCAAGATGTGCTAATATATTTCAAGAAAATCAACAAGGAGAAAAATGAACTAATTTTTTTTAGAAATATACAGTAAATATATTCAACACTTAATAAATAAATTACATGTTTTATGCACAGAAAGACTGATTTTACTGTATCCATCACCATAATTCTTCTGTGTGACTAACGCAGTAAGGGCTATTTTTGCAAAATTTGACCAATTCGTTTGGTATTTTTTTCGTAGATTTTATGCACTGTCTTGACAAACTATTAATTTTTAAAACATCTTAAAATTTTCACGAATATTAGCATGAATTCGGAGGCATGCTGCTTTGAACTTGATTAAACATAATAAGAAGGAACTCGACACGTGCTGTAATCAACGCTTTACACATAGGGGTTGTTTAATGGCGCTTCATAATTGTACAATAGAAAATGTATAAAAGAATAGTCTCTTCATTGCCCATGTAAATGTCGTACTTGATAAAGACTGTCAGTCTGCCAACTTCACGCCGCCAGGCCGTTGGGCTGCCAGGCCGCAAACTTCACAAATCTGAATTATGCAGACAAAATTGACTGGTTGATAGACGTACAAACCTATTCCAGTGTCCTTAAGGGGAAGGCAATATAAAGTTTATTTAGACAAAAGATAATTTTTCGTGGTATATAATGCAATAAATACACCGCTATGTGAATATCATACCTACACAGACTATCATCTAGTCTTACAATGCGCGATGTCAAATATTTTAGTGCTAGTTTAGTTCCTTTTTATACCATTTATATTTAATGAGAAACAAATAAAAAACATACTTGATCAACCGAATGCGCAAGAAAGGTAATTAAAGTTTGCAAAGAAAAACTTAAATAACAACAATGACAAAAATACAACAACAAAAATAATGTCCTTTCAAAATCTACTTTTAAACTACACTTATAGAAAAATCTTTGTTAGAGGGTGAATTACGGAAATTAAAGTAAAATAAACACAGAATTCACATCACTGTCACAAATTAAAAAACTAACAACAATTCTTAACAAATGAAATGCCGCATAACGAAAAACTAAAAGTGT